CCTTATAGTTGAAATATTGTGACCCAACATTTGGTGGTGCTTGCATTAAGATATGTTTGCCGTCTATAGCACCAATGCAGTGGGGAAAATTCCAAATATCAGCAAACCCTTCACTAATTTTTTTCCATTTGTCAATGCTTTTTGGTGGTTGTAAAAATTCAACAGATAGTGCCCTCCATATAGCCTGACAAGTTTCTTCAATTATGTAGGAAACAGTAAAGTGACCTAGTCGATAACTAAATGATATTGCTTGCATGGAATCACCAGTAACTAAATATCTCAAAGTCACAGACAATCTTTCGTCTGCTAAGACAGGTTCTCTTAACTGAGTGGTTTTCCGTACTATAAAAGGTTTTACTCTACATAGAAGATCATCAAACCTTGAAGGACTCATGTGAAAATATCGATAAAAACTAAAATGGTCAACTAGTCTCATCTCCTTAATTAATGAGTGATATTCTCCAAAACTAAATCGACATCTAAATATCTCCCTTACCCATTTAGACCTGGGTCGCCTTTTCATCAGCCTTTTCCTTCTTCTTCGCAGAAATAACAATAATAATAACTTCTTCCTCATCATCCACCATTTAATTCCATATTACTATCAGGTCACGCCTTTTTATTTTAAGTATTAAATGTAAACAATTAATGTGAATTACAAAAATTAATGCAAGTTGTTAATTAAAGTTAATAACTAACGTTAACTCTGCAGTGTGAATCGGCCTTTACAGTACTTTTACTATTGACAGACAAATGTCAATTCCAAGGTATGACTTCTGGGGTTTATCATTGACTTGTCCTATTTATGAGACTTATGTTTCGTGATTGAGCTTACAGTATAATTTTTTTAGGTCAAACCAATGGTGGGAGTTTGTTGTGTTAAGTAACTTTACTGAGAGTGACCGGATAGAAAATTTTCGAATGAGTCGATGTACCTTTAATGTGATATCTGATAAACTTAGATCAAGTATTGAAAGAAAATCAACTTGCTTCAGAAAACCTATTAGTACTGAAAAATGCCTAGCAGTCACTTTGTGGTTTTTTGCCACTACAGCAGAGTATCGTACTATTTCTCATCTTTTCGGAATTGCCCAATCGACTGTTTGTGAGGTTGTATGGGAAACATCTTCTGCAATTGTTCATCATTTTCTCTCAACTTACATTAAATTTCCTGTTGGTGATCAAGCAAAGAGTGTTACAGATGGTTTTCAAAAGAAATGGAATGTACCACAATGCCTTGGAGCCATTGATGGTTCACATATTCCTGTTAGACCACCAATATGCCATCACACAGATTACTATAATCGCAAAGGATGGTACTCTATACTGATTCAAGTTGTTGTGGATCACAATTATTTGTTCAGGGATATCTGTGTTGGTTGGCCAGAGAGTGTACATGACGCTCGTGTATATGCCAACTCTCAGGTATATGCAAAAGCAACTTCAGGACAAATATTGAATGGTACAGTCTTAAATATTAATGGAATTGATGTACCTGAATATATAATAGGTGATTCAGCATATCCACTGTCCACATTTTTAATGAAACTGTTTGATCACAATGTAAGTCTTTCAGAGGATGTCAAGCACTTCAACTATCGCATATCACATGCTAGAATTGTGTCAGAAAATGCCTTTGGACATTTGAAAGCTAGATGGCGACGCCTCATGAAACAGAATGATATGTTCATAGAAAGAGTACCAACAATTATAGCAGCCTGTTGTATTCTCCACAACATATGTGAAATTCATGGAGACTCTTTTAATGCTGATTGGTTAGATGATATAAATAATTCCTCTTACAGTGTAGAACCTACAGCACTCCCAAGTACTGACAATGAAACTGAATCTGACTGCAAAACTATAAGGGAAGCATTGATTTTTTACTTTAAAGATAATCCAATTCAAAATCATTAATAAATGAATCAATCATGTGCATGTAGATACATGTATACTGTTTTGGTTAAATTATAGTTATTGTGAATCAAAGGCATGTTCAAAGTTGTTTGACAAAGATGGTGGTGGAGGTGCATAATATATTCCTAAGCATTGTTGCTGCATTACCACTGTCTACATTCTCCTCTGAAATTCTCTCTCTTCTTTGCGTAGTGCTTCCTCTTGTGCCAATATTCTTTCTTCAAATTTCATACGTTTTTCTTGTAATGCAAAAAGTTTCTCTTTGCTTGACTTTTGTGCTTTGATTAGGCCATCAAACATTCCTTTCATTACTTCTTCTAGTTTCTCTTCTCGATTTCATTTCTTCTTGCATTTATGTATAGGTGAAATAAAGTGAGTCACTTTACTCTCTGCTCCACTCGTAACAGGGCTATCTTGAGAATACGAGGCATCATTTATCAAGTTTTGTAGACTAGTTACTTCACTCTCTGCTAAAGAAGCTCTTTCATCAGAAGTGACAGGACAATCAGAGTGTTTATCACTTTGTTTATCATTTTCAAAATGGTGGTTTGTATCATGTGTGTCTTCAGACAATGTATCAATTAGCGCTGATGGCTGAGAAGGTTTATCAGCTAACACATTGTCCATAGCATCTAAAAATTTCCACTTTCTTCTTCCTTCTCCAGTTACTCTGTGTTTGTCCTTGATTTTTTTATATTCTCCTTTTAGTTTCTTGGCCTTCTCTCTACACTGTTCTGCTGACTTATCGAAACCAGCATCACACATGGAGCAAGCTACTCTTTCATAGACTGTTTTATTCCGTTTACAACCTTCCAATTGACTCTGGATCTTGTCATCTCCCCACAGTTCAATAAGTTTATAAGTTTCAGCTTCAGACCATGTGTTGGTAGCCATTTTAAAAACACTGAATAACTAATAATTAATTTTATTAATGGGCACAGGGCAGTTCAGTTTTGTTCACACTAGACTTCAAAACTTAACAACACCATTTCAGAGCACCTTATTTTCGTGCACCACTTTAGTCTGGTTTGGTTTGGTTACAGTGCAGTTCAGTTATGTTCACACTTGTTATAAAACTACACTATACTTCCCCAAAACTCAGTTCCAGTACAGTTCTGAAGGGTAGTGTGAACAGGGCATTAGAGTCTTAGGTGGACCTGATGCTCTTGTAATAATCACCGTTGTATTTTATCACTTGTATTTACATTTTAATCAATTGACATTCAATGCCAGTATAGTGTAAACCACAACCAGGTAGTATATTAAACATCAAAGGGTTATATACCTACCCTAGGGAGTATACGCAATATACACACCAGCATTTTTCTTTGATGTGTGGCATCTTCAGGATATCTATATATACATTGTATATTTATGTAGTATAATATCATGCTAAAAAAGTCTCCCAGTTGAATTTGGGACAAGAAAAACTGGAAAAACTTAATACAGGGATGTGAGATAAGGGTGAAACCATCACAGGTCCTTAGCTGCCAAAGCTTATCAAAATCTGCGAAATCTTGGGCCTTGGGATCCCTGGGAACTGGGTTTTCCCTATCAACCCAATGGCAACCAAAGCTAATGGCATTGACGTTTTTTGATGTCATAGTTTACATAAGCACATGTGGTCAAGTGCCCAAACTGATAATTCTTCTTTTACAAAGTTAACAGAGCAAGATGTTCTGATAATAATGGTATTTAAGAAGCCTAGTTGAGTCCAGGAGCTATTGTACTGCTAATTAGAAACAAAAAATCTAAGAGGGAAACAACATAGCTTCCATTTTTCGAAAAATAAAAAATTTAAAAAACAAGATGGAGTAGGATTCTAGAGTAATTTTATCAAAAAGTAGTAGAAACAAAGACAAGTAGGATTTTAAACGACCAACGAAAATACAAAATGAAAATACTACTCTCGTACCGCAAATTCTACTCTACATTGTACTTTCAATATTATTATGTAAGAGATTACGAATCACCGTGCAATGTAGAGTAGAATTTGTGTCACGAGAGTAGAATTTTCATTTCGTATTTTTGTTGGTTGTTTGAAATCCTACATTTCTTTGTTTCTGCAACTTTTGTATAAATTTGCTCTAGAATCCTACTCCATCTTGTTTTTTTGAAAATTTTTTATGTTCATGTTTGGGTTAATTTTTTTATAATATTAGTTATATTTTTATCAGCCTGGATAGTATCGATTGCTATTGTAGTGAATAGTTACGCAAAAGGATTTCTATACTGATACGTGTATAGCAACGTATGATATGTACTAATTATAGCACAGTAAGCGGGACTGTAGCGGATTTATCAGACCCAAGGCCGAGGTTGTTTCAGTCTCCATATTAGCCTGAATTATACAACCAGCAAATTTTGCTAAAAAATAAATGCAACTAACAAATTTTTTGAGGTAGTCAAATTATTCTATAAGTACTAAGTACTACAGCTTAACTCACTTAATGAAACAGATTCATACAACATGGTATCAAAGTAACCAGCAAATCCATGAATTGTAGCAGCAACTTCACCATTTCTAAATCTCAAACAAGCATAGCGATTGTTGTTAATATCTAAAATTGAGTTTACAAAAGTAATAAATCAAATATTTACAAAAAATTAAAATAATGACATGCATACTTTGATTAAACAAATATTAATCTTTAATTTGAAGAAATTACAACTTTCACAACACATTTAAGTGTTAATTTTGGAAATAATTTGGCCAATGTAAAACATGTAACTTCAACTTTAACATTTCAGATGCCACCAGGCATGATATAAGCCATACCATGCTGCCTTTAATGACATCATAAACAGTGCAGTGCAAAATGGTTGATGGGTTTGAGGCATGTATCAGCAATATGGGACCAGAGCCTTAAACTATTTGCATTCGGCAAAGCTATGTGCAAATAATAAAAGGCTAGAGTCTTATGATGCTGATACATGCCACAATGACATGCTACATATACTTAATAAATTTGTTGTTAATGTAAAACATATGGCATCTACTAAGGGTATAACACTTTCAAAAATTTAACATCAAACATTTTTCCTGTTTCAGATTAGTTGATACCTAAACAAATCAATTAAACATCTACCTCCAGAGTAGCTTCCTTTTGTCTAACATAGCCACTCTTGTCCAGGGGTGTCTGCATTCACTGGAATGGATTACTGGAATGGACTACTGAAATGGAATGCTGGACTTCATTTCCATTCAATTACAATGATTGTTTGTCTTATTCATTATTATTATTATTATTATTATACCACGCCCATAATTGCACAGTGTGACTGAGCTGCATGCGCGTGGCTTTCGTTCTTTTTCAGTGACACTGAGTCCCTTGGTTTTGCTATTACTCTGGCTTGGCTACTCTTCTATAATGGTCGAGGTAAGATTATAACCAACTATCGTGTTACTTTGAGTCTTAATAGGGATCAACGAAGGACTTGCCTATCGTTATTGATTCAGATTCTGAAGTATCCCCAGCGCGAGATGCAAACTATAATCCTCACTGTGATGAGGAACAACAGTCTGATGTAGGTCAGTCCAATTTCATAGAACCAGTCCAACTAGATGGCTCACCGTTAAAAGTTTCATCATCACACAATTACAGGTGAGAATTAACTTCACACACGTATTAGC